ATTATACATTGGCGAATCTTCGGGAAAACTGTTTGAGGACATGCTCCCGTTTTGCAAGCTCACGTTTACGTCCGGACCGTTGCCTCGGCGTGTGCTGTCGAGCAACTAGCAGCCGACCAGGTGCGCTTGAGAGCTTTTCCACCGGATGATCTAGTAAGCACCAGGACGCTCTCGTGGGCCGCCCCACTCGGCAGGTGGTACAACGAAAGTCACTCACGTCACTGATCTAGTCTGAGTAACTTGACCCCGATCCTGACCCATTTGTGCTACACTTATTCTCTCAGAGCAGAATCGCGTCAATACCAAGCGGATACACGAGCCGACGGTACGTCGTTCGGCATGTCTTCAACCATCCGCCATGCTTGGCTGTGTCTCTCAATTGGTCACTACATTGTAAACGGTACAAAGTACCTTGAATGTCAAAAGTACCTCGCGGTACACCGATAGTCTGCGATCCCTACCCAAGAACATCGCTAGCCACGTTGGCTCCGAGTCCTAAGAATACCAGCAATATCCGAGTACCCGTTTTCCAGTGTGACGATCGCAACTTAATCAACGTAGTCGCGGTGTATTAGCTTCGCGCTTTCAAGGCATATCGCTGTGGTGGTCAATCTAGATGTTGTCGTCCTGTGCAAGGACTTGCATGAGTCGTTCACGCTATATACCCCGCTCCGCGTGGAAATAGCACCTATTACGTCTAGCCTGCAGAAGTCTACCAGGTTTCAGCGTATGAACGTATGAGCGTATTTCGGGTGAGGACGACCGTCTGCGCCACATTCCACGATGCCGATGCAAGAGATTGGAGCTCTCTTTTGGAGTTGCGCCCAACGGCGTAGGCTTACTCAACATCATCTCGGTGCGGTCAGATTGAATTGCACCGGGCCGTCATGTTATATCCGCAGTTGAGCCTAGCCTATGGCCGAGCCTTTTGAGATAACTTGGATCACATATCACGTATTACATTGAACTTTTCACTCCGTCGAAACACTGAACTTAGATTGTGGAGCCTGTTCTTCTCCTTTCGAGCCTAAATCCGATCAAGTCTAGCATGTCTTTGATGCAGCGCCATACGGACTTTCAGCAGCTCGAGACAACAATCGATCGCTTTCGGAGATGCGCCTTCCTACGTGTGCGTGGCTCAGGGTCTGACTAGCTTCGAGAGTTGCGACATTGATGACGAAGCATGTCTGGTTCCCAGCTGGCGAGGAATCGCGAACAGAAAGATTTTGAGCTTCACAGCAACATCAGACAAACATGTCTGACTCGGACCTGGAAGCACGTTTGAGGACGAAGAGCATTAAGCTACACAGGTGGACGCCTACCCTTCGTGCCGGTACGCGCCATGATCTCTAGGGTACAAGACGATGGCCAGGTGATCTCCATCAGATGGTAGCGACAAGAAGCGGATCCAGCAACTGTTCCCTAGTAGGCGTACTGCGATACAGATGTGGATGATGGATTATGGCGAATACGGTGTTCGAGTGCGGGTGAAAGCTAGCGAAAGAGGAAGCACCAGATGGCGCTAAACCTGGTGCGGGGTTGGTGGAGCTTCTAGAGAGTAGGCCGCCTGCTGGCTGTGCACGACATTGTACCCTCAACCGCATGCAGCTCTCTGCTATCGAAAGGGCGGAATGTCCTGTGTTTCGAGGTTCTGTCGTTGTGCCCCTACCAGACTCATATGGCTGAAGGGCGAAGGCTCGTGATCTGACGTCATTGTCAGCCCTCACCATGCTCTCGCAGTACTACACGAGTCTCGGAGCATTGATTGATCAATCAGCATACGTGAAGAGACCGACCAGATACATCTTCAGGCCACAGTCTCATTGAAGCTAGGGGATGTCTGGGATCTGTGGGGTACTGTGATGATGTCTCGTCGAAGCCAATGACTGCCAGCGCCGCAAGGCTGGCTGCCTGCAGGCAGCACCACTGCGCCTTCCGTTGAGTCAACAGCCTTGAGTCAAACCTCGCACATTCAACTGCATGCTGTTCTCTACTTAAGGTGATGTTGTAGACATCTATATGTGACACAGTCGCATAAGCCATCTCGTTTACTATGGGTTCCAAGTTCTCTCGAGCGGTACGGCCGCACGTGCAGGCTGCTGCCTCGCCAGTCGCAACTGCCCAACATCACGACATTGACCATGCAAACGCACGAACGCAATGCCAAGAGGCCACATCACGGGTCTCAGACCCTTATTGTTACGACGATATCAACGTTGCAACCTCTACCACGGTACCAGTTATTCCGCAAAGACGCAACAGCGCGCCCGCAACAACATTCGCAACTCTTGCACCTTCCATCGCTATGGAACAAGCCCCAAACATCACCACTTCGTTCCTTCTCTTCTTAGAAGAGCGTCGACTCATGTCTATCCAACACGGTCATGCCGACCCCGAACCCCCGCCCGCGATTACCATGCCCCCGCCTCCTCCACCACCAGCAAAGCCTACTCTTACCTTACCATTACCAGAAGTACAATGTATTATATGCTGTACGGAGTTACCAGGTGCCAAAAGCCCGAAGCACTCAAAGGAGGTTGTGAAGCCATGCAGACAATGTGGCAGTACGTACTGTGGGTCGTGCATCAAGAGGATGTTCACCGAATGCTGCAAAGATACCACGCGCATGCCTCCAAGGTGCTGCGGACAGATACCAATTCATTACGCAAAACCGCATCTGACGAAGGAGGAGTTCACAGAGTTCAAATCCAAGTACGAAGAGTGGCTCACACCAAATCCATTTTATTGTCCAGTGCCAACATGCTCGGCCTTCATTCCAGAACGACTCCTGCCCGATCAGGCAACGAAAAAGCAAGGGAAGCGCGCTGACTCTGGTGTTGGAACGCCAACGTTGAACGTCTTTGCGTGTCCAACCTGCTCAGCTGAGATCTGTCTCGCATGTCGGCAAGTCGCTCACCCGGACGCTATATGCAATATATCTGAATTTGGCATCGATGCAGAAACTACAGAGCTACTGAAGAGCTGGGGATATAAGAGGTGTCCGAAGTGCGGTCATGGACTGAAACGAATGTACGGTTGTCTACACATGGAGTGTCGATGTGGGGCGCACTTCTGCTACATGTGTATGGAAGAGCCGGAGGGCTGTGGTGGAGCGTGTAATGAATATGGGGAAGACGACGGCAGTGACGGCAACATCACGGAGTCTGATGAGGGCGAGTCTCCATCTGGGACGAACGATGCATCGGCGCTATCCAACGAGACATCTCAACCGCAAGAGACGGTTGGCGCAGCAGCGATGTCTACGCCACAGCCAGCACCTCCACGTAATCTTGATGCTGGAGGGCCTCGTTACTGGGAGAATCAAGATCTGGATTTCGGCGAAGAACCGGGAGAAGACTATCAAGATCGCTCATGGAACTGTATCCACACATTCGATACCTACACAATCCCCCTTGCGATGGCTCTAGTCAACAACTCTGCGGCTGAGATGGAGTGTGTAAAATGCTGGTGTTCAATACACCCAGAGATCGAAGCTCCCAAAACCGCAGTCAATGGGATGAAGGCAAAGACCGTAGCCGCAGGTATAGTACGAAGAGCCGGTCGAGGGTTCAGGAGGGGTAACGGACCAGGGCGAGGGCGCGGTCGCGGACGGGGTGGATACATACCTCCTCGCGGGCTCTTCCAAGCTGGTGATGCCATTGGAACAGCGCCCCATCTCACTACTTCCGTCGCCTCTCCGCTCTCTGAAAGTGTGCCCATTCGCGAAACCTCGCCTATGGAGGATATTCAGTACTCTTCCGGCCGCGTGGTAGATACCTACGGCAATATCGTCTCCACAACTGAAATCGAGCTTCGGCGACGAGCATCCGAAGCGTCTTTTGTCACTAACGTCGTTCCTCCACGAGCGGATAGGAAAGCTCAGGCTACCTTCAATGCCCCGTCGAACATCTTCTCCATGAAGTTCAGTCTCGCCCATGAGTGCGTTAACTGCGCCTTACTCGTGTGCGCATCGTGCAAAGACGGTATCTTGGCTGCTGAAGAGAGGGAGTGAGAGCCCTAAACTTTTCCGTACCTCTTACTTTACACGGAGCTTTGCAGCATTTATTAGCATGGGGAATTTCACGTTGGACTGCAGGGGCGTTACGGGCACACGGCTTTCCTTCTGTAGTTTCAAGACGCTTTTCAAATGGGAAGATTCGAACACTTATTATCGAACGGCGTATAGCAAGTAACTGGAGCACCCTTCTATGCACTTCGAAATGATGGATAGTGCTGGAGAACACCATGGGGTTGCATGTGGACTGTGAAGGCGTCTTGCGGTGATGTATATGTCTCGGTCAGCGATTATATGCTCCACCATACGATAGATGCGCATGAAACCACTCCTCGATTCGTCCTAATATCAGGACTGGATGGTTGTATTGACTTGTATCGTCTTCATGTAGAGAGGCAACGTCAATCCGTCTATGGTTTTGTGGCTCCGTGGTCTCAGTACTTTGATTCACTCATACATGTGCTACAGGGCTGCTACTTGAGATTATGTACACATCCTGTCCCTGAACCTACGACATTGTAATTATCCCACATATTGCATGCTTAACTGTCTTATCTTACTTGATGCGTTTGGTTGGACATCTAGCATTCTAGCACGCCTCGGGATGACACGAGTACCACTCGTCCTTACTACAAGCACTCCTTGTTAGTGACAAGTGCGTGAGAGTGCCATCAAGGTACACACAATCATCAGATACAATTTTTTATTCTTGTTCATAGAAACGTACTACCGCACACGAGAAGACCAACCGGGGAATCAAAACACTTGCAAAGGTTGAGCTCAAGTTCACTACATTCGTGGTACCGGTAGATGTAAGTATTTTAGCCCGCCGACATCTCTGATCGAGATTCCTTGATATTGTGCTTTCGCTCTCCGTTCGCTCGTCCCGTCGTGAGATAGCTTATTCATTCGTTCATTTCATCCACACTCGACTGTCGGATGCAGGTATGTCCTGTTTTCAGGCCGGAACCAAGGTTGACGCAATCTATGCGCCCAGGCTGGGGAAGGCGCTGGAATCGGTGATGTTGATGTTGGACTGGGCACCGCCGCGGCCTCCACGACCACGGGCCTCGCCACGTCCACGACCCTCACCGCCACGGCCACGTCCGCGGAACTCGCCACGACCTTCGCCGCGACCACGTCCCTCGCCACGGAATTCACCGCCGCCACGGCCACGACCGCGGAACTCGCCACGACCTTCGCCACGGCCGCGTCCTCCTCGGCTACCGCCCTCACGGGGAGGGGGAGCAAGCATGCGGTCACCGTCGAGCTCGACGTGGACCTTCTCCTTGCGGGCGCGCTCGCGCTTGGCCTTGCCTTGGGAACCGGCCATGAAGTCCTCTTGCTCCTCACGGGCGAGAGCAGTGCCCTCGGGGAACTTGGTGCTGCTGCCCTCGTTGGCCTTGCGGACGTTCTGGGCGGCGAGAGAGAGCTTCTTCTCGGCGAGCTCAGCGAGGTAGGCGGCGTAGGACTTGCTCTTGTCCTCAGGCTCGGCATCGGCCTCGCCCTCAGCGTCCTCCTTGATGGCGTCCTTCTCTTCAGCCTGAGCCATGGCCTCTCCAGCCTGCTCGTCAGCCAACTCGGCATCGCCGTCCTTTCCGCCCCAGCCGTGTGCGGCCTGCTTGTCGTGCTCGCTGGAGATGGTTAGATATGGCCGTAATATGATATGGGATTTCTTACGCGATGCCAGTCCTGCTATGACGGTCACCCTGAGCAGCGCCTCCGCGACCGCCGCGTCCACCGCGACCGCGGCCACGCTGTCCACCACGACCTCCAGTGCTGGTAGGCTCTGCAGAGCGTCAGTATAGGTACGAATTGACCAGTGGCAGTGCACTCACCGCCAGATCCCCTGCCGCGGTTCTTGTCAGAGCCGACGCCGCGATCCCGGAATGCTGTGCTGCGTTAGCAATTGTCCACTGAGACCCCCGTGAGAGTATAGAGCATGGGGTTTGCTCTCTGTATCCGACGTACCGTTGTCGTTGGCGTTGTCGGACTGCTTGGCACGGTTCTGGTTGCTCATCCTCTCGGGCATGGGCTTGGGGGCATCGGTTCCCTCGCGCTTGCCGTGCCTCATGACGGGCTTCTCGATTGCCCTCGTCGGTGGGTCAGCCGGCCTGTCGGGGTCGAGCTCGGGGTCATTGCCTGCGGGGTCATGAGTGAGAGTTCGGTGCCTGTGCTGTGCGCTGCGACATACCCAGCAGCTCGTAAATGTTCTGCAGTTGTAATTAGCATCTTGAAGCTGTCTACTGTGGTGCAGGCCCTCTCGCAGCCCTCAATGGAAGGCGCGAAGCTGGACCTGATGGTGGGGTGAGTTGTAGCTTACCTTGGAAGCAATTTGCGACATCTTGACGGATTGGAGCGCCTTTCGCGCTTTGCCCTTCTAGATGCACAATCTGCCGGGAGAGAAAAAGAATGCGAGAGCTTGCCCTACAGGTTTTAGGGACGTGGCTCTCAGAAGTTGACTCGCGAACGGGGTGATAGCGCGATGTTGCGGGCACGAGGTTTTGGTCAATCGAAAATGGCCGTGGGTTGCTTCCGTAAGCGAGTGTAGTGGGGCTAAGACTATTGGAGGCACAAAGAAACATGAGCGCTGCGGTTCTTGCCGCATACAGCGCTTCACTCGATTCTTGTGCGAGTGCAGCTCAAAACAAAGTCTTGAGGCACACGGTATTCACTGTAACCAACCTGTTAGTTTGCAGCTCTTGCGCCGCTGGCGTGTCAATGTTGATTTGAATGCGCGTTCAAGCGCACGTCATTCCGAGGCTGTTTCACCCATGCAATGCTTTTTGTCAGGAAAAGCAATTGTGAATGCGTCCAATGCAGCTCCAGAATGCGACCGCATCGCTATAGTGTCACAGGATGTGAAAAGGCCTGACTTGGCCTTGGTTAAAGAGCATGGGCGCTGTCACGGCGTTGTGGGAGTATGAGGGGGGTGCAACATTGACTCGATAGTTGCGGCCGACTGCATTACAATATGTACAAAGCATCGTCCCGCCTTCCAGTGTCACTAGACAGGCAGCGATGCCAGAGTGAAGCGTATGGATGAGAAATATTCACCCGCGTCCATAGCAATAACCCCAAGCAATTTCCATCACAAATACACATGTCGTAAACCTGCCCCAGGTTGAATGATAACTTTTTTGTAGAATTCCCCCGTATCGAGACTCGTGGTCTCATGTTGAACGCCGTCGTACCGTCGTGACACATTGTCGATTGGGTAAAAGCAGTTGTTGCGCCCGCTAAACAACGTCATGGGAGGGTATCAGTCGGCGGTGATCCAATTCGGTCCCTGATAACTCCAATATAGCCCCCTCTTCCTATCCTTTCCTCGTATCATCATCTACTCTCATACATCGTGGGGAAGTGCATGCTGGCCGAGAGTCCAAAGGGGTCGGCGTCAAGCATAGGGTCGTACGGGTCGAAGAGGTGGTTGTTGCTCATGCCATTGTAGGCATGGCCTCCGTCGTTGGGCGCCAAAGCTGCTGGGCTCGTAAAGGGTGGGTTCTGCGAGGGCGGCATCGGTGGTGGCATGTTGTTCGACGGCGGGAAGTTCTGTTGCGGGAATGGGCCAGGGCCAGCGGAGTGCTCGCTCGGGTCGTCGTGGTCGTAGGAGTCGGCTTGTTCCTCGTACTCCTGCTCTGTAACACGAAATCAGCCTAGGATTACAAAGCCCTATACTTAAGAGGGGATAGGAAACGGGTCAGCTTGCCGAGTTGACTCATGTGGTCCGTGAACTGTGTCTGGTAGAAAGACGTAGGACCACTGCTCTGAGTTATGCCGTTACCGTTGCTGCCAACAGTAGACGCGTTTGCTATGCCATTTGCGGGAGCCTGGTTCGTTACGAGCGAAGGGCGCTGAGCACCCATCATGGGAGTAAAGTTTGATCTAGGCGGCTGTGGCCGTAGTGGCTGCTGCTGTTGGTGCTGCTGCTGTTGTGGAGGTATGGGCCCAAAGTTGGGAGACACTGATTGACCATGAGGTATGAAGCTGGGCGAGCGCGTTGCTGATTGAGCAGGCGACGAGAGATGCGAGCCAGGAGTGGGTTGCGACAGTGGTGAACGCTGAATCGGCCCATCCGGCTGTATCATGGGCAAGCCATTGACGCTATCAACCTTGGGCGGGCCTTGGAGCGAGCGCCGCTGTTGTTGTCTGTTCAATATAGCACGTTGTTGGAGAGGCGCCTGGTTGGGCGAGGTGTGTGCAGACGCTGGGGCTCTGGTCGGCCCCAGGTTTGGACTGCCAGTCTTCGCGCGCAGCTCGGCCTGGACGTCGATACCTGGTGGAGCAAGAGGTTAGCGTGTGTACCCTGATAGATAGACGTCTTGATAAGATTGGGGCTACCTTTCTCTAGCAGAATCCTCTCGAGTAGAGAATTCTTATACCGGAGCATAAGGCATTCGTCGGCGGCGTTGCGGTGACTGTTCTGCAGGTTCTGCAGCGTGTCCTCATGGTGCTTTATGGTGCTCTCGAGCTGCTTGATGTACTCTGTACGGCGCTCACGAAAGGCGGCTTGCGCCTGTCTATTGCGCTGCTTGCGCTCCTCTGAGGTGGCATATATCTTACGACGCTTGGTTAGTCCTATCTTCGACATAGTGATTGGCGATTCAATTGCTGCAGCCATGACAGGCAAGGCAATTGGCATCAGGAAGGCTCACAGGTTTACGGCCGCCTTTGCGCTTCTGCTGCTGGGGCTCTTCCTGGGTATATGTCTCCGCCAGACCAGGTTCGGGCGACGATCCGATAGAGTCGGTCGAACCATCGCGCGAAGCCTCTGCCTTGCCCACGGGGGCCGTCATATCTGTTACGAGACTATCTCCCATCTACGGCCACCGTACCCCTCCGTCCAGATAGAGGGGCACCGAGGCGCCAAGAGCTGCGAGAGATGCGACAAAGGCAGGTCGAAGGAGATAGCAGGAGGCTCTGGTCGCTTAGACGCGCTTGTGCTGGGCAGCCGCAGCGCCGGGTCGAAAATCGATACGGTTTGTATGGGGTTTTGATAATGTATGATAAGAAGAGGGCGTTCGGGCCTGTGTGTGGTCGCGCAGTAGTTGTGAGGTAAGCTCTTGGGTAATGGAAACAGAGATGGGCTCGAACGGAGGGGCGGAGTGCTGGACTTGAAAAGGCGGGCGGACCACTCTCTGCTGCCCAGATCAACTCCTCCCGTGTGGTTAAAGCTCGCTCGACTCGCCTCGCCCCAGAAGGCCTCCTCTCAGGCGCGCAGCAAATGGCAGCCGTGCTCCCGCTGCTGGGCACTTCGCACGCGCAATGACGGCCAAGCGAGCGGGTGCGCGGTTGGCCGAACGCTCAGAATTTTCTCGCGGGGTGCTCACGCTGCATCACGGCTCTCGCTGTGCCAGACGCCTGGTGGACGACGCCGAACATGGCTGCCCCAGCCGAGCTGGATCGCGATGCCCCATGCGGCGTAGCCCGGTGGTTAGCTCCCGCGCCACTAGAAAGTTTTGTAGCCTTTCTCCGGCTTCTCCATGGACGCGCAGGCAGAGCGCGAGCCTGGCATTGTTATCTAGCAGGCGGCGCCCGTTCGAGCGCGATCACCTCGCGACGTGTATGCGTCTGTCTGATTCCATCCACGCGGCCATGAAGTCTTCCCGTGAAAAGCAAGCAACCAGCCGTCGTCGTCGCATCCACGCCAGGCCACCGACGTCGGAGCGCGCCCCTGCACCGGGGCCACGCACCTCGCCCTTATGAAGTCACCCTACTCGCGGACGGCATAGGTAAGGCTGACGAGCAGGTTCCATCTGGATGATCTGATATGACGAGGGTTGCATTATCGGCGCAGCTGGCGATAACGATCGATACGACTGCAGTCAATCTATACGACATGCCTCACCGATGAACCTGGGACGTCTCTCAGCCGTGACCAGGACAGCGCCCGTAGTCATCACGCTCCAAACTCTCAGGGTCATCACGTGGCCTGCCCCGGGGCCGCTATGGGCCACTAGTGGATGCCAGATCTTGGAGGAAGGAGCCACCAACGGTCGCATCTGCCGTGTGCAGTGCACACCACCACCGCACAACTGGTACTCTGGACACGTTATTCCGCCAGCGCAACCACCGGCTCCCGAACCGCTACCGAAGTCTGGCCTGAGGATCGCCGAGGTCGTTGCTTTATGCACCACTTGAGCTCTGTTGGCCCGAAGCAGCCGTAGCGTCACGACGCTTTTTCTCGGCTGAGCAAGCAGGTGACCTATGGGGCGGGCGGTCGAGACTCGTACGAGGGCATTAGTTGCACCCTGTCGCATCGTGACCTTCCAGCCGTTGTTCGAATAGTCGAGACCCGTCAAATCGGCAACGGACATTCGGCATTGCCTAGGTGCGGACTGTCGGATTCCACACTTGAGTGCTTCTGAACAGAAAGCATCAAAATGATAACCGACGCCTGCGCATGTGCATTATGAACTGGAGTCCCGAAAAGGCTATCTTAAACACGTAGAGGTTTGAGTATACAGATGGCCTGAAAAGGTGTTCTCACTGAATCACTGTAGAACACTTCAAAAACATGACATTGGCTGAAATCCTCATTAACGCGCCTGAGTACGCTGCTCAATAATTTCAACTCAGTGAGATGCGCTCCTTCCAAATGCCGGGTTTGTTCCTGCCAACTCCAACCGCCACGTGCGGTACAATCGTGTCAAGAGCAAGCTCACACGGGCTCCTTCTCTCACTCCTAGATGCAATGTTGCGGGAGATCGTGACATCCGACCTCCACCATGCACACCTCAGGCGACAGTCCTCACCCCTACCAGGATATCCAAGCATCGCATAGTCTCATATGACTTCCATCCTGTTTTCAGCAGTATAGATCCCGCATCAATCACTCGGTCAGCTTCTAGTCGCTAGTCGCCAGCTTCGCGCGCAGTCTATCGTTCACGAGGTGCTCGGCGCTATATCGCTTTTCAAAGCATTGCTGACGGTAGGTAGCAATGATCTTTTCCGAGATCGCGGGACGGCTGCTGAAAGGGTCAGGACACTCGCAGCCGCCGCCTGGCAAAGAGCACCTAATCGAATCTCATCCTTCGCCAGAGAGAGCCAGCATTTCCTCCTTTCTAGCTTCGCCCGAGTCAGACAACGGTCATATCACAGCCCGCGAAGGCATGCTCAGCATCCATCTGGGCGAACAAAGAGGACACTCCACCGCCTCTTCGTGGGCGAAACCCAGACCTTTATCAGACATTCGCGAAGTCACCGAATCAAGCTTTGCAGACACCCTACCTCGGAACGCCCTAACAAACAACTTTCCCCGAAGTACCTCTCGCACGGAGATGTCACGGAAGCCCTCTGTTGCTACGAGACGACGTCCGAGCAACGACAACCGGTACGGTGAAA